GATTTTAAAAAAACATCTTGTTGCCATACTTTGTATACTTATTTATGTTTAGAATTTATTTATTTATGTGTCTCCGGATAGGTGAAACGAGACTCTTGTAAAAGATAAAAAATTCTCAATTTAAATTTTTATTTTTTTGGGGCTTAGCCCTGCTTCTTTACAGACTAATTTCTAACATAATTTTAATTTGCATACAAGCTTTGTAAATTTTCGAAAAACCTATTTTTTAAGAGGAAAGTGCCTTTTATGTAGCAAATACGACAAAAAGTTATTAAGAACAGTTGTTTAGAATCAACATCTTATCTCCATGCCAAATTTCAAAATCATCGCCCTTTTTTTTCACAAATCAAAAATCTTTATTTTTAACAATTCTTTCATTAAGAATTAAAAAATTCACACTTAGATTATTATACAAAAACCTTTTTAATGTATTTGTTACAAAAAGCAACTACTTACGAAAAAAATTAAAAATCATAGTTGGCCAATAATCGTAAAATTTGGTATAGGGGCCTAAATGTTGAATTTTTTTAATAACTTTTTGTTGTATTTGCCACATAAAAAACACTTTACAGAAAAAAAAATTTTTGAAAATTACCAAGACATACTTGATTTTTCAAAACTAAATAACTTTTTGTCGTATTTGTAATATAAAAAGCACTTTACACTACAGAAAAAAATTAAAATTTGAATCGAGGATTTTTTATATTTTACAAGAGTCGTTCCACCTATCTGGGAGGACACACTGTATATACAAGGTGTCAAAACTCACGTTTCAGAGAAAAATTTCAAGTAAAATAAGATACTAGGAACATACCAGGAAAATTTGGACATTTATTTTTTAATATTTGACATTTTTTTATGTCTATTTATGATACTCATGATCTTGTATATGTTTTTTTTATAAATATTTAGTGAATGTACAAAAATTTTGCCAATAAAAGCTACAAATAACATTAAACAGAATTTCCAATAAACTGTAGCAAAAAAAAAAAAATTATTTTTCCAACAGAAATAAACAGAGTCAAGTGCAAAATTTAAACTCTCATAACTTTAAACTTTTTCTAGATAGAACATTTTTTTCATGTTTCCATGGCATTTTCCTCTAGGGCGAGAGTTCTGGCGCACCTGTATATCCATTATGTACAGAATGTTTCAAAACTTTTTTGGCAAAATTTATTAAACATTTTTTCCATGTTCCTAGAATCTTATCTTACCTACTTGTAATTTTTCTATGAGGCGCGAGTTCTGAAACACCTGTATCTAATATACCCTGTATACAGGGTGTTTTCTTAATCTTTTATCCACATGTTCTACATCGGAAAATAACACTAATTTGTGAAATAAACAATAGACCTATATACAGGCTGATGAAATATGGTTGCACTTGCACAACACCCTGTATAAATAACGTTTTTTCGTTTCGTGTGATTATTTGATGAGTGTTTGAGTGTATTGACCAGATAATTGAAGCTTGTTGAATAATTATTAGTGATGTTTACATATTTTAACTTTTATCGATTTTGGTGTTTATCTAACTTTGAAAACTTGCTGCGATCCATTTAAAACGCGTTAAACATGAAAACACGTGCTGAAATCAAGTCAGTTAAGGTCAACAACTCATCGTGAGATAAAAATATTGGCAACATAACAGGGTAAATCGTGGCATCGACCTGCGGAATGCCGTTAGGTAAAAAAAATATGCAAATCCAAAGTACCGTTAAAGCACGTCATTAACTGTAATTAAAAAAGCGTCCCTTAATTACCCGTCGCTGCAACCTAATTAGGGGTAGTTTGTAAGAGGGATGAAAAAGCTGCCAAACTCTCGTTCACCTAAGCAACACGATAGTCAGTAAATTCACTTTATTCCCTCATTATCTCGTAACTTGAAACTTATCGAAGAGGGAGTTTGGGGAATTTTAGTTGCGATCCCTGTAAACATGTCATAAAAAAGGGATGAAACAAACATTGTGTGTAAGCCGGTCGGGGAACGAGTGTTCTTGTTGCAGGTATAATAATTTATAGTCGTGCTTTAAAAGGAGAGCTTTTAACCGCACTGGAGAGGCCACAGACAATACAAAATCCACTCCAACGACTTGAAAAATTTAAGAAATGGAACTGAATTGCAAGGTTTGAAAATTTAAAACACGACCGAAATGAAAAGTGTTGCCATTGAATAAAATGGTAGCCCTTTGTCTCGCTTCAATCCAAAAACAGAAGCAATGAGGGACATTTTAAATCATCAACTTACCGAAATATCACAACAAACATACTTGTATTTGTTTATAATGACACTAACTGTCAATAAGTACAAAAGTGATAGTAGGTCACATTAATTTAATTAATTAAAGTACGTTTGGATATTAATTATTAAACAAATATTGCACTAAACTGCGCATTGTACTTATTTAAGATAATAATTAAAAATATAATTATATAATTATACAGGGTGAGTCATAACTACTTAGTTATCAGTATTTAGAATAAAATAAATAAATAAATATTGTTACATTTAAAACAATAAAATTATGATTGTTTGAAAATTGCACAATTGAATTATTTCTAGTGACCACCTTGTATAACAAAATCACACAAAAATTACATCAAACGAGAGAGCTAAACCTTTTTTACCAGTGAGCAAAGTTTTACTTTCAAGTTTTAAATAGTACAAATCTTAGAAGATTAGGTCAAAAATTTGGATTTTCAAAATTTTGCGGAAATTCAATTACTATACGGGGTGAATCAAAGTTTCATCCGTACCTTTCAAAACACCTTTTTTATTATAATAAGTTGATATTACTATATTAAGTTCTATCAACTTATATAACCTACAAAATTTAAAAATACCACAATTTCATAAAAAAGTTATTACTTGTTTTTCATATCAACTGTGAAAAGTACATAATAAAAGTTTAATTAATATTTTTAATTTATTAAAGTGAAATAGTATTCAATTTCTGACACAAGAAGACCCAAAATCCTGACAACATACAGTGTGTCTCCGGGTAGGTGAAACGACTCTTGTAAAAGACAAAAAAAAATTCGATTTAAATTTTCATTTTTTTGGGTTTAGCCCTGCTTGGTTATACTAATTTCTAACATAATTTTAATTTTGATTCCCTTGGAGATATTAAAAAAAAAACAATTTTTTGTAGAGAAAAGTGCCTTTTATGTAGCAAATATGATAAAAAGTTCTTTAAAAAAATAACATTTAGCCCTCTATACCAAATTTTAAGATTATCGGCCAACTATGATTTTTAATTTTTTTCCAAGATAGTTGCTTTTTAGTAACAAATACGTTAAAAAGTGTTTTGTAATAATAGCGTAAGTGTGAAAAATTTTTATTCATAATGAAAAAATTGTTAAAAATTCAAATTTTTGATTTGTGAAATAAACATAAAAATTTACACAAAATAGGTTTTTTGAAAATTTCCAACAGTTAATTTTTCAAAATTAAAATTATTTTAGAAATCAGTTTCTAACCAAGCAGGGTTGAACCCAAAAAAATACAAATTTAAATTGAGATTTTTTATCTTTTACAAGTTTCGTTTCACCTATAGGTATATAACATATACAAAGTATAGCATCAAGCGGTTTTTTTTAATCAATTGCTTTTAGAAAAAATAATTAATA